ATTTGATTATGGTCGAATTTTGAGGGACGTTTCTTCAAAAGAAAGTTTTGAAAAACGCGACTTATTCCGATTTTTGACGTTTTAATGACGTTTTAAAACGTCACCGGTCTCGAAAGGGTTAATCAAGATTTATTTGTTGAACAATTATTACTTTGTTCAATGACTGGTTATGAAGAATTATTAAGTTATGATTGGTTTAATATAATTCTTACATGGCAACATCCAGAGTATGGTTGTATTAGTAATGCATCAGAAACAAATCGATTTTATCGACATACAAAACGACATTCATTAAGTGAACAAATAATGAGTAATGGATGTTTATCACATAAAAGTGGTTTAGCAGCTGGTTTATCAGCAACTTATTCTCGGATTTTTTACAATAAGAAACTAGCCGACACTCGAGTTTCACGACTGCGAAATACGATGCGAAGTTCCGAATCTCAGTTTTCGAGAAATCGAAAATTTGTAAAAATCAAATAATTGACTCTACGATTAGGTACCAACGAATCGACTTTCTCGAAAAATAGTATTTATAGATGACCGAAATTAGCTTTTTTGGCTGTTGGTGTAGCGGAAAAAAATAACGTTTCAATCTATCAGCTAATCGAAGTTGAAAGGAAATTGAAAAATAGATATTATAAAATTCATTACTGCGAGAACTCTATTAATGCTTATCAACATGTTTCTAAAGAACGCGGTCGATTGATCGTTTAATTAGTTATGTAATTTATTATTTATAATCAGCTGACTTCACAGTTGTAATGAACGACATCAGTTGTTTTCTAAAGATTGGCGTCAGTCCTTCTTTGCTGTTTTCATTTCAATTATCTCAAAAACAAAGTCTATAAAAATTCCTCTTGTTTTCGGACTTTTTATAAACTAACTAAACCACCTTCGAAGAACTGACGATCGTATTGTTTCTATTTGCTCTTAAAATTTTATTCTCACGTTGGAACGAATACTTTCTCACTTTCCGTTCTTGAGATCATCATGACAGAACATATGAACTTTGATACGAACGTCTAAAACGTATGAAAGACTAAACGGTACTCGAGTGAGCTTGACTTCGAATATAAATGGAAATTTCGAGCCACTTATGTTTATTACTAAACCCTTCTACAGAATAGAAGCCCACCCTATGATAATACCCCATCAGGAATAGAAGTTCAGTCCTTGAGTCACAATTTTCCGGTACAATAGCAGCCCACTGTGTCAAACCTGATAACTCACACCTATGAATTTATTGAAATCTGATGTTGTGAGAACGGAACATGTGACGATATATGGTATGGATATATAGAAGCAGACGAAATCAATTGTTGTGTGATCGCCGTCAATGCTTGTAGTGGATTAAATGGCTGTGGTGGATAGTCAATAACGACAACTTCTGGTTGCTTGGTAGGAATCATTGTAGCTGCTAGTGATTGTGTATATCTGTCCGTAGCTGATATTGCAACATCTGCTTTTGACCAAACTTTAGGTTGACTAATCACTGATTGCCTACGAATTGGTTTGTGTTGTGGAATATTATTGACGATTCCGCGAACATCTACCTCCGCCATACAAATTTTCGAAACAACCTTTTTAGAGTTAGTTGACTCCGGCATGCTACGAGATTTTAGAGAGTTTCTCAAGCACGGACAACAATGATAAAACGTTTTGATAGACGAAAAATATTGTACAATCTAATGGATAAGAATGAGCGGTTGTGTCGTTCAAAAAATCGGAAAACATTTCCGTTATTCAGAATTTAGTTCAAGCTGAAATAGACAGAGTAACAGACTGGTGCGAAAAAAATCATATGTCACTCAACGTTGACAAATGTTCATACACTTACTTTTCACTTGATCCTAAAATAAAGCCCGATTTCAAGTTAACTCTATTAAACTCGAAGCTCTTGCTCGAAACTGATCCTAAACTTTTGGGTATGCGTCTTTCTCACGATATGAAATGGGCAGCACATATTTGCGAAGTAGCAGCAACATCTTGTCGGAAAATGCTCGGTATTATTAATCGAGTTTTCGGAGAAGCACCTCAGTCAATTCGCTTAGTTTTATATCTTACTTGCGTTTTACCCAAAATCGATTACTGTAGTGCACTTTACGATTCTAAATTCACCACCCATCTTGAACCATTAGAGGCGGTTCAGCGTTTAGCAAGTCGCATTATTACCAGAAACTTCAATTACAAAACTGATAGTCTATCTCTAGTCAATAAATTAGGTGTGCCCGATCTCAGTGTTAGACGCCAGTACTTTCGACTCATATCATTTTACAAAATTTACAATAACCTGACTCTTCTCGAATCTCAGACTTATCTTAGTAAATTGAATTCTAGGTCTCTCCGAGCAGCGCATTCTTATACGATCGACATACCCTTCACTCCTTTCGAGACTGTCCAGTCATCCTTCTTTTCGAAGACTGCAAAGGACTGGAATGCTAAAGATCTAGAAAAGGTCGTTTCCATCAATTCTCTCCAAACCTTTAAAAAGGCTTTAAAAGGACATCTTCATCTTTAGTCGTTCTCTGTCTCAAATCTTCTTTTTCATCGTTTTTTGCTATTTTTAGTTCTTGGTCATGATAGGCAGAAACTTTGAATTAAATGTTTTTTTGTCCTTCTTTTCTGTTATAAGTCATTCTTATGTCTGAACTTTTTTTCTGTACCATAGTATGTTACCAAAATAAAAAGAAAGAAAGAAAGAAAGCAGTGTTCAAATTTCCAAAAAAGGAAATTTCCCTCATAAATAAAGCAATTTCAGAAATTTCGACAATGCAAAAACAATAAAACGAGAAAATACCGAAATTACCATATATTCCAACGTACAATACAGACTCATCCATAAACCAAATACAGAAAATTACAAGAAATTACCTAGATTCACTAATACCTGTAAACCAAACTTCCTAGAAATTTCGGTAATTACCCACTAACGAAAAAAAAATCTCTCAGTAGTTTCCAAAATTGCAAACATTTTCAGAACTAATTAATAAGCACTTACTACTAGAACTTACTAATTTTAAGAAATTTCAGTAATTTCCACGTAGTTTTGGTAATTACTGAGAAATTACTAAAATTTCTTTTATTTATTAGAAAGAGATATCCATTAGAATTGGGACCCCTATCTCCGACAACAGGAGAATTTATAGAAACGTCGGTAATTTCGAGGAAATTTTGGTAATTACTGGAAAATTTTTGAAATTTCTATGAGTTTTATTTCATCACATCTTGTTTGTACTTTTTCTATTGTTTTGAAATCAACTATCAACTATATTCATTCAACCTGTTTGTACTAAAAAACACAGACTAAAAATAAAATTCTCAAATCGGATGCTATATCGGGTTAAACAAGCACTAGCGGTTAGATTAGATTAAATGTATTTTTGACAAAGTGAGAATAAAGGGTAGAAACAACTAAAAAGAATCATTCCTACAGAAGAGAAAACCAGTAGATACAAAGAAGAGCAACTATAATAATGATAAAAAGCTAGGGATCCATCTTTGAAGACGTTACCGAAAATTTAGACATTTCTTTGGGTAGCTAGTTATTAAAAAAAGGAAAACTTAAAAGTAGATGTTAACTTAAAATAACATTTTAAAATTATTAACAAATTTCGATTTTGATAATGGGGTTCGCCCCACTGACCTTGTTCGGTTGAGAATGAATAAAGACATAAAACAACAAATTTCGAAAGAAAAGGTTACAAGTCAATTTTTGTAGCCTAGAAACAATATATTATATTCAATTCACGAACATTGTCAATAATATTAATTACCGGTAGGAAATTAATATAATTGACATTGTCGT